TCTGTTTAAATAATCAGTCTGAACTTGGTGTCCAGATAAATGTAAGATTTTCTTAAGAAAACTCAAAATTATATTACTGATGTTTCAGTAAAATAAACAGTGATTTATATAAAAACACAATGAAAACATGGTGAATATTTTTCTGTGATTTTATACCATTAATTAATCTTTTAGGCACGATAAAAGAGTAGAAGTGATTCTTCCTTCTTTGTGACATGTCATTATTATGATTAACAGATTCATAAACATTCTTAGTTAAACACAAATGAATCACGAACAGAACAGATTGTTTCTGTTTAATATCTGATTAAGAGAACTGAAGTCCTCGTGTAGGTTGAAATGACCCATCATGGCCTAAAATAGAGTTCAGCGTTCCTGCCTTCTCTCAGGCCTTCCGAGACCTGCTTTGAGGCAGTAACTCCTGTTTCTTCACTCGAGGTGACCCCTACATAAATAATTTTTTTTCATTTTACCTACAGAATACTCACATTAAGTGTTTTCCTATGTAGGTAAAAATCTGTTTAAACAACCTGTACACCAGAATGCAGGAAATGGTATTTACTTCTTTAAAATTGTTCTGGGGGAGGACCTCCAGACCGCTCGCCAGTGGGTCCCCCCAACATTACAAATACTCACTCTTGTTTTTTGTCTCTGAATATCATAAAATCAGTGATAGTATCTGTTAAATTACAAATTGAACATCTGTTGGCAAATCCATAGCTTTATTTTGCCATAGTTTTCAATTTGTCATTTTTACAAACATCATAAATTTTATGTTATAGATATTAGTTTTGGTGTGCCACCTCTGGTTTTTCAGTGCCCCCCCACCACCATGGCCCCCCCTGAAAAAAAATTCTGCAGGCGCCACTGCCTCCAACTCCCTCTAACCTTTTGATCTGCTTCTTCTGCCACAGCCGTTCACTCACCTGGCCTTCAGCCGTTCTGCTCGGCTCACCTGTGAAAACGTCCTCTCTTCTGCTCCTGTTGAAGTCGAATGTTCTCCAGCTTCAGCGGGCTGGGGATGAAGCCRACGTCACAGCCCTCTTTCACCAGGCGGCCGATCCACCAGTCATTGTTGTACTTCTGTGAAATCATGAGAGAAAGCTTTAACACGGGCTTCATAAGCAACGTGGATGGACTGCTCAAGACAAAAAAAAAACATTTAACGGAATAGAGAAAACAAAGAGTATTTCTAGATTCTCTCTCTCTCTCATATATATAT